TCGTGAGGGCGAGGAAGACAGACCCCAGCCCGGCCCGAGACCCCGACTAAGACCGCCGGCGAGCGAGAGGTGGGCCAGGAAGGGCGGACCGGCCGGACCTGCGCGCGGAGGCCAAGGGAGTGGGCGGGGGGCAGAGGCCGACGAAGCCCGGGCGCGAGCGGGAGCGGGAGCGGGACCGCTTTCCTCCCAGCCCGAAACAAAAACCAGCGCGTGAGCTGCGAGGCCGCGTCCCCCAGGGCTGGCGCCTGGAGCCCGCGCGCCCCAAGGGCGAGAGAGTGGCCTGGGCGGCCAGGTGACGGGGAAAAGTTCTACGCTTCGGAGGGCATCGGTTGGAGGGGGCGCGGTGGGAGAGGGTGCTGAAACACGCCTCGGCCAGTTCACGAGGCTTCGGGCCTGTTATTCGGCAGCATAACCCTCAGTGTGAGGCGGATGCTGTTGTCTCCACTGCACAGAGAGACAAGGAGGGCCCAGAATGGCCGAGGGATTTGTGGCCACACACTACACTAAGTGCTGGCAGGAACAGGGTCCCGTCTCCAAAGCATGATCTGTTATACCAAGTGGCTTTACTTGCCAGCTCCAGGTGAGGCTTACACTTCCTGCTGCCTGGGTCTCTCTCCCTGCCCCACCCATGTGGACAAATCCCGTCCTGTCTCCTCCACAGAGGCCACGGGAGGGAAGGACTCAGTGCCACAGGATGCCCCGACTGGGGGACCTTCCTTCACCAGATCTGTGTGGGAGCCCACGGACCAACAACTTAGTAACTTCATCCCCCCATTCATATTTAGTGGGAAGAGGGGAGTCAGGAAACTCAGGTTTGGGTACTAGTTTCATCACTGCTCTGGCCTTTGGTGAAATCACTGAAATTCTTTAGGCCTCAGTTCATTCACACGGTGAGGGATAAATGGCCAGTTCCATCAACAAGGAAAGTTAGGGCAGTATATGAGATGACCTGTGAAAGTCCTTTGAAAATATGAGTATTGCACTCCATGGCTAATTATTAAATAATAATAACCTAACAAACACATTGCCTGGCACATGGTAGGCACATAACAACCAGAAAATAAAAATCCCTGGCTCAGAGGAGCAGGAAGAAGGAAGAACCCTTTTCCCAGAAATGTCTCAAGATAAAAGAAAGTGTTTAGCCAAATTTGTGGTTTGAGGAATGGAGTGGTCTTGCCTTTTTACAGGTTTCTGTCGGATGAAGGAGGGGGCTTCTCTCATTGCCCAGCACTCCCTTACTCCCTAATCCAGTAATATTCCTTTTAACTTACTTTCATTTACCATACTAATTAGTTCCTCTATAGTAGACTGATATAGGAATTACCTATCATTTCTTTAGTGCCACCTTGTGAGGTGTATAGAAAAAATATTATTGTTCCCACTTGGAAAATGGGGAAACAGGGCATGCAGATCACCTAACTTGCCCAAGTCTTCACAGCAAGTTATTGGCTAAATGGGTTAGAATTCAGGTTTTCTGAATCGTCTCCTGTGTAGGCTTTGTGCACACACACACCTCTTCCCGTTCCTCCATCCTCTCCCCTTCCCAGCATCTCTATTTCCCACCCTCTGTTTAGACCGTGATTTTAAAAGCATGATAAAATCTTTGTAAGTGAGGAAGCACAATGCCCCAACAAGCTGCTAAGAAAACCAGCCTGCATGATCTTTTGAGGGCTTGCTGGCCAGGCAGATAGGAGTGATTTGGATTTACAGTTTAAATAGATTCTGGTTTATGGGGAAAAAAGTAATTCACGACTTGACCCATCTTTGTCTTCTTCTGGTCAACAATGTGAGTGCCTCCTCTCGGTGAGGTCCTGGGGTCCTTGGGTGCAGCATCAGGCAGGAGCTGGAGCTCTGGGTAGCATCAGGCAGAGAGAGGGACTGCTAAAATACCAAAACCCTCCAAAGTAATTTTCAGATTCCAGAACAGATGCATGTGGGCTGGAGAACCTTCCCTGCCTATCTGCTCCTTAAGATGTTACATAAATTTGTTTTCTCTACCCCCCCACCCCCAACCTGCATTGCTGCACTGCCTCATCATCCTGCCCGTACCTCCCCTCACTCTGTCTCCCTTTGTCTTGTTCCTCACCCTTTTCCATATGCCATGCTCTTCCCTTGGCCTGTTCTTCAGACTTCTTCCTCACCAGGTGAACCTCGTGGTGCTTGAATTGAGATCTACGAATTGGGACTGTTTCCAAAAACCAATTCTTAAGTGAGAAATCTCCGAGTAAGAACTGAGGGGTTCTCTGACACATTTTCTTAGTGAGCTTGACACTGCCACACACACGAACTACAAAAATAGCTCAAGCCAATTTCTCTTTGGTGGAAATAAGACACTAGGAGGACTTGGCGATGGCCCTTCCTCCTTATCACGATGGACAAGACACACTGCCAGTAGCTTTATTCTTCAATGGACTATTTTATAGGTAACTTCACTTAAGGGAGGGAGAAGGGACCAATGGGAGATAAGGACTTGTGACCTGCCTGCGAGCTTACTGGGCAGAAACTATTATCCAAACATCTGTTTGGCTAAAAGCAGGTACCTTGGCTTTTGTAGAATAAATGGGACATGGAGGTTTTGATTAGTGCATTTCAATCTATAGAAGAGAGGTCATTAAAAGCATATGAGACTTTAATTAAAATGATGTTTTTAAAGGGAAAAAATAAAGGGCCAGTGATAATGTAATCAGCTCTGTAAATCTTTAATAAAGACATGATTCTTTGATCCTTTAATAAAGATCTGGCATCAAACATCCTGAAGGGGGAAGGCTCTTTTCTTAGACTTCTTGATATTGTTAGTTGAGTAGGCACAATGGCTGCAGGCGAATAATGAAGAGAATGATACAAGAAAAGTCTCTGCTTTTATTCTTCTTTTCCCAAAGAGTTATCTTGCCAAGGAGGGAAGCACAGTAATCTCGCCTGGAGGAGGGAGGTTTCAGTATATTTGAAAAGACTATGTAACTTGTAAATGTTGTATTTAAAATACTGCCCCTCTAAGTGAAGGCTGTATCATTTTTTTTTATTATAAAAAAGGTGAAGAATTTTTTAAAAAGTACCTAAATGGACTGCAACAACAACCACCAAAAAAAAAAAAAAAAAAAAGAGAGAATTTAGATCTTAGCCCTTAGTTATAATATGGATAAAAGCCTAGGGCTTCACATAAGTGTAAGGTCAAAAAACAATGGCTGAGAGCTGACAGGAATTTTAGCTTTTCCCTCTATTTCTTAAACTGCTGGAGAGTGCAGTGGGAGTGTTGACAGGAATCCAGTCATTTTGTGTGGTGATCAGGAATCAATCCTATTTACTACTCTTAGTCCATTTCATTGGGCATCTAGATGTTCTAAGTGCTTATATGCGTTATCTCATTTAACTCTTACAATCCTCTGAGGAAGGTACTTTATTACTCTTATAGATGAGGAAAGTGAACCACAAAAAGACTTACATACCATTCCCAAAGCCACATAACTGTGACATAGATTGGAGCCTTGGCTGTCTGACACTCGAGAATGTTTATCAACATAAAAGGTACAAAAACATAAAGGACTTAACAGAGAACCAGGGAGGGGTTGTTCTATGGTGTTTTGGCTATGATCTGAGGACACCATAAATTTCCTGACACTAATGACATCATCACTTTCCATTGTTTTCAGAAGTGAAATCGACATCAGAATTTATTTTTGCCTTGACACACTTTAAATGTCCTTTGGGTAGAGGCAATGCCTTCTCCATATTTGGTGCAAAGCCAGCTCACGCCTCAGCTCATGAAGTCCCATAAATAGTTATTAACCCCAAAGAAACAAAAGCAAATCACTTGTATCTTTTCACAAAATGGATTTTTATTGTAGTCATACATGGTTTCTCAGTGCCACAGAAAACTGCAACGTAGGGACAAACAATTTTGGACGGCTCTCTACGGAAACATGAGTTTTCAGAAATGAGTTGTGCAGGAATGTGGTTAATGAAAAGTGAGAGGGGTCAGGAGGCGAGTGTAGCATGAGCGTCAAAAGAGCGCTCTATAAAACAACTCTGAGCTCTGATAACCCTTTTCTCAAGTAAGATCCCCAGAAAATTAATCAGAAACGGAAGTGACTGTGCTATTAAATACAAGAAATACATTTATTTATTTATTTGATAAAGGAACCACGAGAAAA